ACTTCCGCCGCGACCCTGCGGCTACTGCTCTTGCTGCAATGTAAAATTTGAACTGTTACATAGGTTATTTTTGTTACATTACATTTTTGGAATTAATTCTTTATTATGTATGACACGGATTTGTTAACACTAGAACTACCAGCGTTCAATGTACATATAAGAAACTTTAAACAATTAATTTTGATCCCTTCGGTAGTTGTAGTGTTAATCATTTGTGTGATAGAATCTGTTATGCTTACCACGCGACGGCTTAGCGCCTTCCCCCTGTTGCTGGTGCTGCTGCTGCAGTGCTTGTTGTTGCTGCTGCTGCTGCAGCGATTGTTGTTGCGCCCGTATTTCTTCTCCCATCAGCTGCATCTGCTGCTGCAGCTGCATTTGCTGCAGTGCAGTCATGAGACCTTGTTCTGAAAGAGAGAAAAACTATCTTAAAAAATAGTATAAACACGAAAAAAATACATACTTCATTATGTTGATTATAAAAAACACTATCTGTAAGATGAAACGGATTAAATAAAAATAAAAGGTGAGGTTTTCGTTAAATGAACAGTGGACGTTTTATGTGAAATACTGAATGCTTTACTGAAATCGTCTCACGGCAAATGCCAATACAAGAATGTCTCTCTAGACACGGTCCCGTCTTGAGGACACCCCCGTCAGTATGGTTGTTTATGGCACTTAGGCCCAGCAAAGTTTCCCTGCGGAAGGGGAATGCACTGACAAAAAGCACGTGGCTCGTGCCGATCGTCTGTCGATTTTCTATTTCCTTACATTCGGCCATACTGACTTGGGTCTGTCCTCAGACTTACATTTAAATCACTATTTCAATTTCAAACTACTTTGTTGTCGCAACGCAATACCGTTGTACCGCTCACGATCAACTACTGATACCCTTGTATCACTTACCAGCAAGGACATACTACGTGCCTCTTACAGCTGCACCCCTCTACCTGAGACACTCCCCGTGTCCGTCGAAGGCGGTGTTCTTACGATTTTACAATGACAACATTTGTAAAATCAACTCTTGCCGTCGCAACACAATACCGTTGTATTGTTTACGATCGACTACTGATACCGTTGTATCACTTTACAGTCCTGGGTATACTAAGTACCTCTTACAGACCGCCATCCCTCTCCTTGGGACACACTTTGTGTCCGTCTGAGGTGATGTTGACCTGAGATGCGTAACGCACCGTTTTCGGTCAATGCCTAGGATACCCTCGATCCATGCTCAGCATTTTGTTTGATACACGTTGTGTCCTTCATCCTAAATTTGCCAGGGTTGCTGCACCTGCTGATTCCCTTGATTCGTCAAGTGTTTCGGCCCTATAGCCGCTCATCATCGGTAACCCCTTGCTACCTTGCCTGATCGTCGGGCAACGTGGACAACCTCGCCCTCGTGGTTTCTGTAATCCTCCAAAGCGTTCTTACGCCTTGGGATTGTCTGCTCTGTTCTCCTTCTGTTACACATTAGAAAAAAAAAACGTGAGATATTATATAATTTTAATGATGGTTATGAACCACCACCGAACTACATCTACGATACAAATACATGAACAAAAAGGATATAAAATCTGCTTCCTCAAGCATTGTCATGCTCATCTCCTTGTATCGATACTCACGGCTTGACTTTGTCAGCGGCGACGACTGTTCGTAGTCGCTTCACCCCTTCTCGTAGGTCTTCAACTTCATACCTGTCGTTCGGTAAGACAGCCCGTATCCGGAACGGTCCTTTATACTTTGCCAATAATTTTCGGCTGCTTCCTGTGGATGGTTCACTGGTAATTTGAACCAGCACCAACTCTCCTTCTGTATATTTACGAGCGTCTCTTCGTTTACGATCGTAACGTTCCTTCTGAGCTGCTTGATCTTTTGTAATATGCCTGCTGATT